ATGAGTCAGCTACGACTTTTCGGTTGTGCAACGGACACTTCCATTGAAGAATGTGTCCAGCACCAGAAGCTGCGTTGGTTGGGACATGTGTTGCGTATGCCGAACCATCGTTCGCCGAGGAGAGTGCTGTTTTCCACGCCCAATTCAGAGTGGCGTAAACAGAGAGGTTACCATCCCTTGACTTAGGAGAGGAGTGTAAAGGAGATCACGAAACTTTTGGGTGCTGTCGGTGCTACTCGCCCTCCAGGATAGGGACCGCGTGCTCTCCACTGCGCCTGATTGGAGACGCTGCAAGATCTGGCTACCAACCGATGTCAGTGGCGTTCTGCTTGTCAGTTTCTATCCAGGTCGCCTGAGTGAACTTCTGGAGGTGTAGGCACCTCGGAATGATTCTGGTAAGCTAGCACTAAGTCCCTCCCCCGTCCACCCTTATTCTTTTCTTTACAATAAGGCTTTTGAAAAAGTCATGGTTGTACGGTAGTGGGGCGTCGGTGTTGAGCACTGATGTCATGCTGTCGATGATGATGATAGTATACACTGTCTGCCATTTTAATTGGTTTTTATGTGAGCGTGAATGATGTGCAACCTTGCTTACTGGACTTCGGTTCGTGAGCTTTATTTGCGTTTCCCATCCACAGAAATTGTCGTGACCCCCTACCTTCGCGGAATCACTGACTCCTGGTGCTACCGTGGCTTAAGCCATTCTTCAATTGAAGCATTCACTGAAGCTTCCTGAGTCGGGTTTACTGTTACCTTTCTGCGCCCCCCGTTTACCCAAAAGGCACAAGCAAAAGTGGCCGCACTTCAAGTTCTCATTAGGCTTGCCAACTCGAGGACAAAATGCATCCAAAATTACATTGGACTGGATTCTAGATGCAGCGTAAACAACCGTCGGAGTAAAGCTATTTCACGCACCGACTATCCGAAATGAGAAAGAATGTGCAATAAAATTGTACATTATATCTATTAGTTCAGTCAACGGCGAAAAACCCGTCGGCGAAACCTTGTTCAAACAAAACGTAAGTAAGTATTGGGTTTCTTTGGGGGTGACGATGCTCCAGGGGAAGGAGGTGAAGCACCACAGGGCGTGTTTTATAATCAACGGATTTGATGCCAGCAACCTTCGTAGTAGCAGCTCGCTGGACACGCCCGATGAGGGTATCGTCATTTATGTGCCATGAGTGGGCAACAGACCTACTGACCAGAAGGTCCGTGGTTCGAACCCGACCATTGCCCCTCGACTTCCTTTGTCTAGGCTTGGACAACCTGGCAGTATCCCAGCCCTCGTGCTTCCTTCGGGTGGCATGGCAGCTAGGCACCGAAAGGGTGTTAAAGCGGAACGATATTTTTTAGTGGGCAACTTGGTTGGCGTATTCAAGAAGCGACTGTTAGCGCAGTTCCACCACTTGGATGGTGAAAGTGCCATTTTCTGACCAGCAATATTGGCCGTTCACCGCAATCTGGAAGTTGCTTTTGATTCTGTTGACCGCCAGGAACTTTAGCAGTGCCAAGCAATGAGACGTATCTCTGCTAAATTCTCATGAAGGATCTGTATGCACCCTTTGAACCGAAGCGTTCCTTACCATTTTCTGCTCTCGCAACTCTGGAGAACGAAAATGTTCGCATCCAGCGATCTGGAGTTATGCAGCTAGTAAACTATTCTCATGGACAGCTCCTATTTTTGTCATCAAAAAAGCAAGTGGCAAGGCGCACATGTGTGCTGATTATTTCACTGGACTAAACGCCGTGTTAGACTTTCAACAGTATTCAGTACCGGTACCAGAAGATCTGTCCACCAAGCTCAATGGTGAAAGATGTTTCGCAAAGCTGGATCTCGCTGATGACTATAGGCATCAGCGAAGTCTAGTGTTTCCAAAGAACTTCTGATAATTAACATACATCGCGGTTGGTTTCAATTTAATTGTCTGCCATTTGGGGGTAAAATCTGCGCCAGCAATATTTCAACAAACAATGGATGCCATGCTAAACGGTTTATCAGTTGTTGCTCATTTGAATGACATCATTCTCAGGTTCTAGTCAAGAATTTCTGCATCGTTTACATTGTGTACACAGACGAATCCAACCACATGGTTTTCGCCTACGTGAAGAAAAATGTGCATTTTTTTCTCACATTCTTCAAATATATTGAACCTATTTGTGAGGTATATGGTCGTCATCCAGACCCAGAAAATATTTCTGCTTCACAAAAAATGCCACCTTTGACGGATTTGGCAACTTTGCCCTCATTCCTCAATTTGGGAAGTCGTTACAGTTCATTAATAGCAGAGGTGCATTGTGTCCGTGAACCACTAAATCATCTTTTTAGAAAAGATGTGCCTTGGAACTGGTCAAATGAATGCCAGTCCGCTCTTGAAGTAAAGTCACTTCTCAGCTCCGATCTGCTACGCACACAGCGAAATAATCAGGGACCAAAATGGCTCCCTGGTATGTAGGACCGCTTCGAACAGCAATCCAGCTGGCACCTGTTACCTCCGACCCAGAATCCCGGCCTTTAACAGAAAGGTGGACTGTGGATATGGAGTTTCCTCCAGTCTTAGAGTGTATTTCTACTCAAGCGTCATCGTGCTGCTGGTCCTACTGACCTTTCTGCTCTTTTCGCAGATGGCGGTGAGCTTCTCATCTATTGCTTGTCTAGCTTATTTGGGTCTATCTGGGAAAAAAACAAGACCGTCCTAGACAACTGGAATGAATCGATAGTTTTCAAAAAGGACACTCGCAGTGGATGTCCTAACCAAAGAGGTGTTAGTTTGACGCCTGTCTTGACAAAGCTTCTGACGTCACTGGTTCTTCGTCATCTTACGATCGCACTCGGAAATTGTGAGAAGCAAGCGGGAGACCGAGTAGAGGATGCGTTGACCACCTCTTCCCACTCCGTTAGCAGCGCCATGTGTGCACATGACTTACAATCTTGGTGTTCCTTGGTTCCAAGGGTGCGTTCGATTATGTCGATCGGTCAGTGGTGTTGACTGCACCTACTGAACAGGCTCTAAGGGCTGTGTTATTGTATGGGTGTGAGACATGGCCTCTGTGGATAAATGATGTGAGGCATCTTCAGGTTTTTTACCACCGGTGCCTGGTTGGATGGTGTCGGCGGATTAGTGGCGAGATGATTAGAAAACGGGTATTTTGTTGTGTGGCAGGTCATTTAATCAGGGAAAACACCGCCCACTACGATGGCTCGGTCATGTGCTACCTAAGCCGAAACACCGTTTACCGGGACGAGCATTGTTCTTCGTGCCTCCTGCGGAATGACGCGAACCGCGAGGTAGACAACGTACGGCTTGTGAGAAAGACGTGAAAGAGATCACGAAGAGTTTGGATGTTGTTGTATGCCTTCGAGGATAGTGTCCCCGTTACTCCGCCTGCGCTTGTCTGGAGACATTGCAATAGATGACGGCCGATCGATTTCGCTGGCGTGCGTTCGAGCTGTTATTTTGTCTGATTGAGCGCTTGGAGAGATAGGCACCTCAGACTGCTTGATATAGACCAGAACTGGGTTCCATTTCTCATCTATTATTACTTCCCTCTTTTTTCCCACCACTTCAAATATACTTTGATAAACCCTATGGTTGTACGGCAGTGAGATGGCAGCGAGATGGCTCAAGTGGTTAGAGCGCGAATTTACTGACCGGAAGGTCCGTGGTTCGAACCCGACCTCCGCCACTCGACTTCCCCTGTCTAGGCTTGGGCAACCTGACAGTATCCCAGCCCTCGTGCTTCCTTCGGGTGGCATGGCAGCTAGGCACCGAAAGGGCGCTACAGCTGAACGATTTTATTTTTTTACGGCAGTGAAGCATCAGTACCAGCACTGATGTTGTTGTCTCTGATGATGGTCTTTTGCTGCTTCCAGACGGTTGGGTAGAGCTGGATGTATGTAGTTTCTTTGCCTTTCCCTAGTATTTGTAAGTTGGGAAGGTTCCTGTGGGTTTTTGACAGTCATCGTGTGTTGTATTCCCCTGGTGCTTTCATATCAGGCACCTCACAGTCTTCTTTTCGCGGGGAATAGTTTGTTTGAGCTACTTACGGGCTTGGTGGTTGGTAGGATTGCCTTCTGATACCCTAGGATAGCTATGAACACCATATGAGAAAGTGCCTTCAGTCACCACAACGTTCCGGATTTTGGACCAGTAGCTCGTGATGTCATCAGTTGGAGAGGCTTCAAGAAATGACATCTGTTCGTTCTGAAACCGATGGAGTACGTGTTTGTGTTTATTGATCCAAGTCAACTCATTCATTTAGGTGATCCACAAAAGCAAGCAGCGGCTCGTGCAGCCGGGTTCGTGGTCAACCCCAACTAAACTGAATTTATTTAGTTTTGGGGGTGTATTCCGGCTGGTCGCAAATATGCATACCATTGGACATCGGATGAAGAAAAGTGTCCGTGTTGCACGATGGGTTTGGTGGACCCAGGATGCTTGAGAAGTGAAGGAAGCGAAATAACTTGGGGAAATTGTTTGAGCATATCCGCGTGAACGAAAGAAGCAGTCCCTGGATAGGTAGAAGGGAACGAAAGGATTCACAGAAATTCTGGATGCTGTGGGTGCGGCTCACCTGGAAAGTGTTGCGAAACGTGCGTTAATATCGATGTGATAGGTTGACCATTTATAAACAACAGGCTCATGTTAGTCTGTATAGCCGTGAGTGTATCACGCTTTCACGTTTATCCTCGTTAAGGTCCGAAAGTATGGTTCAGTCAAGGCGAGTTCAGAAAACGGACATTCGAACCCGAGATATGTTAAGGCATGAAATTACTGACCGGGAGATTCGTGGTTCGAACTCAACCTCGGCATCTCAACTACTCCTGTATTGGCTCGAACAACCTGGCAGTATCCCAGCCATGTTGCTTTCTTCGGGTGGCCTGGCATCTAGGCACCGAAGGGTTACACTTGGACGATCATCTTTGTTATTTATCACCCCGTCAATATTACAGGCATTTGAACTGCAATTTGATGTCTCTCTTTATTTTCACCTTTTTAGCCAGTAAGTGATGCTTTCCGAAGATCACGAAGAAAGTGATAAGCCCAAAAAGCCACACACGCATGACGAGCGAGGTGCCGCGGACTTGGAGAGAGTGACTGATTACGTGGAGGAGAAAGAACTGAGTGTTGGGCCTGATGCATTAACCGCAGTTTCAGGAACGGTGGGAGATGAAGGGGCCGCATCCAAAGCTCAGAAAGAAAAACAACTTCTAAAGGTGAAAGTCAAAGCCGAAGATGTAGAGCTCATTGTAAGTCGTTTATGGTGCAATGACTATCCTCGTCTTTCACCAACCCTTCCGTCAGGTAACTTGGGTATCCTCAGGGTTTGTTTTTCGAATACCCATGTTAACCGGTGGAGAGGTGGTTAGTTTGACGGTGGGCGCACCCTAACATGACAACTGCAGTAGAGCGCGAATTCGTCATGTTTCCCGTCAAATTTAGACAATCACTAATAATAATCATAATCATAATACTCATACTGATAAGTGAGACGCCTTCTCAGTCATATTATTTGCTTGTGAACCTTCGATTCGTCACAACCTACCGTGGCTAGGCAAAACGTCGCAAAGTCCACATCAGGATTCAGGTTTTCTCTTCGTCTTGAGGTCTTTTGATGGTTGTTTGTTTGTCTTTACGACTGAATATTTTGTGCATGCGCTGTTTTGGCAGCTAGAAAGTATGCCTCCCTCCCCAGGATCATGTTTGTGGCCCAAAAACAATAGCACAACCTACTACCCTCGACTGACTAAACTAAGATCATTTTGACTGCAACGTAATAAATAATAATCGTTCAGCTTTAACACCCTTTCGGTACTCAACTGCCATGCCACCCGAAGGTTGCACGAGGGCTGGGATACTGCCAGGTTGCCCAAGCCTAGACAGGGGAAGTCGAGAGGCAGAGGTCGGGTTCAAATCACGGGCCTTCCGGCCAGTCAATTTCCCACTTGGGCCACCTCGTACTTGGAGTTTTGGAGCTTTACCTGGATACACCATAGTCAGTTTGGTAGCCTCGCTCAAGATGTTTTGGAGGTTAACACTAGAACAGACGGCAATTCTAACGTCATCGAACAACTATGCGGTCGATTTTAACTGCATCCCACTGCGGCCGTTGGCAAAAGCCCGTTCATTCATCTCGACTAGCAACTCCGTTCGCTTGCATTACAGTTAGCCAAAACATGCGTCGCGTAACTGCCACTCAGAACCGGTCATCTAAATCCGACATCTGGTTGCCTTTGATGTCTGCCCCAAGGATTAGGTTGGATATCGGCCAGCCATAACTGTTGCACTGAGCTCGCTCCTGTTGGTGTGCACTGTGTTTCCGAAACGGGCTTGCAGGATTTAAGTATATCTGTCAGCTTCTTACTCCCAGTCCCTCACGGAAATCGGAACAGTGGTTCCCCTATGGGGTTCATTACTCTAGGGGTATGGATTCGAAGTACCGTTATACTGAAGCTGAAAATCATCATCGTGAAAGACATCAACGCCATTGGTCGTGCTGATGCTTCACTGCCGTACAACCATACAGCTTACCTAGTTATCAATCAATTGGAAAATGTTTGGGACCGACTGGGCAGTCATCGTTTCAGAGAGGTTTGCTAAACAATCGGTGGATTTATTGTTGGACAACGTTTCGCTTTTGACACAAAAGCTTTGTCGGTCCAGGTGAGTAAGTTACCCCGTTGATCAGGTTTTAAGGCAGTCAAGGAACCAATCCGTGAGATTTCTTGTGAGTAGCCGACTTGATCAGTGCTCGGTGTCGGTATGCGGTTCCTGTTTGTTGGTGAGTTGGGACGACTGACATTTACGATAGATTGGTTAGGGGGGTTGTCTTCATGTTGAGGCCGGATTTCTTGGCCTTACTTTTCCGGTCTAGGCACCTTAGCTCAATATTCCTCTTAGGGATCTTTCACAGATTTTCTTCGACATTGTGCGTCGAGGGGTGCTGGAACAATTGGATTGGGGTTTTAGGTCAACCGAGATCAGCAGTTATCATCAAAGTGGTCTGGGTCTAAAAGTACAAAATCTAAGTAAAGTAAGATCCAATTAACCAACCGTCTCACTCCCAATCAGTTGTCTCGGCACCCCTCGACGAACACAGGCGAACAAAATCTGTGAACGACCCCTAAGAGGAATATTGCCTTAAGGTGTCTAGACCAGAAAAGCAAGGCGGAAAAATCCAGTTTCAACGTGAAAACAACTCCCCTAACCAATCTATCGTAAATGTTAGTCATCCCCACCAATCAACAAACAGGGACTGCAGAACGACACCCAACACTGACCAAGTCGGCTAGTACACTATCGGTGATTTGATCGCTGAGCTATGCAGGTCAATCTCAACCACTTCATCACCAGAAGTGGTCGAAAGACTACACCATATCTATCAGCAGGCACAACTCCCGGGGCGAGATGGCTCAAGTGGTTAGAGCGCGAATTTACTGACCGGAAGGTCCGTGGTTCGAACCCGACCTCCGCCACTCGACTTCCCCTGTCTAGGCTTGGGCAACCTGACAGTATCCCAGCCCTCGTGCTTCCTTCGGGTGGCATGGCAGCTAGGCACCGAAAGGGCGCTACAGCTGAACGACTATTATTAGTAGTAGTAGTAGTATTATTACAACTCCCGTACACAAAGGTAACTGATGCAAATCCAGGGTAATTAAGATGTTAGATATGACATGTGTTCTTTAGTTGTTGCTCTCAACAGATACATACGGTTGTGTGATGCTCGGTAGAAATGACGTGAATTCGTTTGCCCGGGAAGCAAAGATTTAATGGGTCGAACGAATTACGCCAGTGTCAGACAAGTTGCTAGTAGGCCAAATTAGGTTCTGATGTCACACGCTTCCATTAGACGCAGAGTTGTGGGTCACGTGACTGGACTCTTATCGCCTCTGTAATCGATAATGGCCTACATGGTCCCAGTCCTGGTGGCTTCAGCGGCACGTGGTACGTTACTTGGAAGCTGTGTTTTTTGCCTACGTCGTGATTTATTCGGAAAAATCAGCTTGTGTTCGCGTGTTCCTTCTAACAAACACTCGTGGGGTCTGCATACAATGCCCGATACGAGATCCTTTGATTTTTTATTCAGTTTAAATTCATCCGACAGGATATTCTTCATTTCAGTAATGTGGTCAGACCACGATGTTTTGGAGTAAAGGTAACTCGAGTGCGCTACTTGGTTGTTGGTCAAGCTTCGCTGTTGGATTGCAAATCTTTCATCCGTCGAGGGGACGTCGTCAGCGCGGCCCGGTTGGGTGGGTTTGTAATGCAACTGCCCAGCTCGGGCAACCAAGTGCTCGGATCTATCCAATTTTCCGCGCCAGATGTAGTGTCAGGGGGAGGTAGAACTGTTGTTTCTCAGACTGTCATCAGTACTCAAGAAGGGATGACAAACTGTCCTGAATGGGGATACTAATATAAAGCAACTTAACATCAAATGCGACGCCTGGCTGGTCATCATCCAGACAAATGGACTTACTAACGACAAGTTACTTTGAAGGCGGTTGTTGCTGTGACTGCTAATTTAGTTTAACGCGGCAAAAGTGTTGCGGAACCATGGCAGTCTTTCACACAGAGTCCTTCAACAGTGTTTTGAATAATGTCTGTCGACGACTTGAGACAATCAACTGCATCATAATAGCACTTTTCTTCCGATGGACCGCGCCCATGAATCAAAGCTTGACCGAGAAATCGGTCCGTTGGTTCCATCTTTCCTTCATGCCAGCAGCTCCGTTGCGGAACCTGTTCCTACTGGGACCGTCCACTGAAGTGTCTGTTTTGTTGCAAGTGATCGTTTCCCGGAGTAACCGTCCGGGTATGTTGTCCTACTGGTGGCTAACAAGCTCCTAGGAAGACTATAGTTGTGCATTGTGGTAGTGCTTCTTATTCACCTTGCCTCCCAACACGGAAGACGCGTGAGCGCTTTAGCAGAGCTAAAGTTTAATGGATTTGCTTCCATAGGTCACTCTTTTCTCCCAACTCATGTATGTTTACGGCGGAATTTTTGAAAGTTGATCATTAGCTCTTTCCTTAGACCTATGAGGGACTGACTGATTGATGCTTACTCATTAGGAGAAGCGCTCTGAAAATGCAATTGGGTTCTGAAGACGCCACCATGGTCCCGTTTACTCTCCTTCGAATAAGAACACAGGCATTGTGGGTCGGTATAGTCTGTCGGGCACCATCAGAGTGCCTATGGCATCGAGAGAGTATTCTTTTTCCACAGTTTTGGCAAGGCATGCTTCAAAATTTCGGTGTGAGCCTATCTATAACTCTTTTCATTGGCCGCGCCAGATGTAGTGTCAGGGGGAGGTAGAACTGTTGTTTCTCAGACTGTCATCAGTACTCAAGAAGGGATGACAAACTGTCCTGAATGGGGATACTAATATAAAGCAACTTAACATCAAATGCGACGCCTGGCTGGTCATCATCCAGACAAATGGACTTACTAACGACAAGTTACTTTGAAGGCGGTTGTTGCTGTGACTGCTAATTTAGTTTAACGCGGCAAAAGTGTTGCGGAACCATGGCAGTCTTTCACACAGAGTCCTTCAACAGTGTTTTGAATAATGTCTGTCGACGACTTGAGACAATCAACTGCATCATAATAGCACTTTTCTTCCGATGGACCGCGCCCATGAATCAAAGCTTGACCGAGAAATCGGTCCGTTGGTTCCATCTTTCCTTCATGCCAGCAGCTCCGTTGCGGAACCTGTTCCTACTGGGACCGTCCACTGAAGTGTCTGTTTTGTTGCAAGTGATCGTTTCCCGGAGTAACCGTCCGGGTATGTTGTCCTACTGGTGGCTAACAAGCTCCTAGGAAGACTATAGTTGTGCATTGTGGTAGTGCTTCTTATTCACCTTGCCTCCCAACACGGAAGACGCGTGAGCGCTTTAGCAGAGCTAAAGTTTAATGGATTTGCTTCCATAGGTCACTCTTTTCTCCCAACTCATGTATGTTTACGGCGGAATTTTTGAAAGTTGATCATTAGCTCTTTCCTTAGACCTATGAGGGACTGACTGATTGATGCTTACCCATTAGGAGAAGCGCTCTGAAAATGCAATTGGGTTCTGAAGACGCCACCATGGTCCCGTTTACTCTCCTTCGAATAAGAACACAGGCATTGTGGGTCGGTATAGTCTGTCGGGCACCGTCAGAGTGCCTATGGCATCGAGAGAGTATTCTTTTTCCACAGTTTTGGCAAGGCATGCTTCAAAATTTCGGTGTGAGCCTATCTATAACTCTTTTCATGTTTTTCCTTTCCTGTAAACCATGTTTTTTTTTCTTTTCAGTGTCAGGAACTAGAGGTTAGCAAGTCTGTGGCCGAGAGACGTTTGAAAGAAAATCAAGGCGACGTTTACAAAACTTTATTGGAGTTGATTGCATGATCAATAAATTTTTTATTTAATGTGTTGCTCCGGTGTTCTACACGTACTGACACCATGAATCTCGAACGCTTGTCTGTAACTTCGGCTATAAGATACAGTTGGAGATGTAGAACTGCTGAAAGCAAGCTAGATGTTTGTGTGGTTGCATCCATTTTGAGTCAGACCTGAGGATAACAGAAATGTTTACTGACTGACGGTTACCGAAATATTTCGAAGCGTTGGGCTGACGACTCACAAGACACAAGTGTAACGTGTTCGCGCGCTGATGGAACGATGATATGGTGTCTTCTGTGCGTATCAGATGGCCAGAATTCAACCTCTGATACGATCGAACAACAAGACGGAAACTGAAGGCAAGCAGATTGCCAATATCGGCGAACATGTTAACAGCCACCTAATCTACAGTTGAGAAACTCAGTTTCATTATGGCTAGATGTGGACCGTGCACCTTTGTTCACTTATCGGTTATGTCCACCAGTGAGGCGTGGAATCGTTATGGCATCATTGAACCCTCGACCGTTTTCCTTTGTGGTGGTGTGGACCTGCCGGGAAAATCGCGCTCAACGATGGTGATGTTTACACTAGTTAAAAAAATCCCGTGCCTGCTTAACATACTTGGACGGTGGATTTTCATCTTTGGGGACGATTGTACTAGTTTGATCACACCACAACGTGTCTCTCGCTCATTTGGCTGTACTGGCTTCGGCGAGCCTACAAGTTTCTCTTCTAACACCAACAGCTATCGATTTTGTTGTCAGAGGAGAGTCTACTATGGGAAGACGACGATGTAAACTTTGGGTAACAGACTGCGTTTACCACCTACCTGTTCATATCACAAATACCGGAAATTGCCAGCAAACAGAACCGGACATTAGGTGGAGCAACGAACAGTCTAGTAAATTCGTGATTTCGGTGTCGCAGTACGCTGGCGCGGGTTTCAACAACTCATTTGATGGCTGCACAATCAGCACGGAAAACGAGCCGATAAAGTCGTTTTTGTACGACGATGCGTGCAATTCATATCCTGAATAGCCGCGTAGCGGACACCAGCTGGCTACTGACAATGATCAGGAAGTATGTTTTTCTCTCCACGACGTAAGGGCGACGCATAATATCAGGAGCCTGTACGGAAGTGTGACAAGCTTTCTTCATCAGAGTAGTCAGTGAGAATCAGTACTTCACCTCCGTGAACAGACAGCTTTTCTAATTTACACACGCCTGACTAACCAATCCTGATTTAGCTGGGTTACGTAGTTTTCGAAACATCCCTGGGACTCGGTAAACATTCTCCTGCGTTCATGGTAGCCCGTCACCGTGGCGCTATCAGAGCGCATTGCGTAAACCTTAGTCTTTCCGCCTTTTAGATTGCTTATAATAGAGCGAAAGTCAAGTTCTCCGGTCGCAAGTTTGATGACCTATCGAAGGTGTTTGGCAGGAACTAGCCTAATCAAAGTATACTCTCTGATTGATGCACCCTTTCGTAGCCTCAAATCTTTGCCTCCAGGATCCTTTGTGAATGAATGCATCGAGAACCTCAACATTTCTCCATCTGTTGCGCCTGTTTATTTTTTTTGTCGCCAAAATGGCCATGGGTTTTGAACAGGTGGACGTCCATCTCTTCCACCCAGCCTTGGGGATACTTCTAACGTACTCGAACTAGCCTGTTCTTGGATTTCCTTCTCAAGCCGTCCCTTATGGATGTTTTCACACTGCTCAAGACCTAACAATTAACGGTTCGTTGCAACGGATCCGCTTTTGGGAAATTTGGTGAGAGCTGTGCTGATCTCTTCGAACTACAGATTCTCACGTTGCATCTGAGAGTAGTCGGTTGAATTGCTTGTCTTGATGGGACTGTCTTCATGGCCTATCCCATTAACTCATCTTTTCAAGGCCTGTCCTTCCCACCCTACTTTTTTTTATACATCAGCTGTTTATTTGCTGAGTTTCTCTGCCTAATCGGATTGAAAACGACTGCATGTAGGCGATCACCAGGAACGCTGATCCCGCACACGCTGAGACATTCAGGATTTCAAAATTCTTGTGCACCTCATCACATCTAGCCAGTCTTCTTCGGACGACCTCTTCTCCCGCCTTAGATTTATTATCCGTTGTTCTGCATCATCCTGAGATATTCGTCCATTCACATCTCGCCAGTAGTTAGTGTTTTTAGTTGGAAAGAATCGCCACCTGTCCCTAGAGTTCAGCGTGAGTCATATAAATAATGGTATTGGCAAGTCCTGATCAAGGTAGCAAAAACATTCGCGTAAAACCCTAGCAAGTCTGAAGCTCCCGATGCGGCAAACCGAAACAAGAGGGGCTACAGAAGTGCCTCTCGCTTTTTCTACCGCGGGCTCATTTATGTGACCTTTTCCGACTATTGCAATTCACGCACATGCACATCCTAGTCCATTCATACACACGCACGCTCAATCTGCTTAGCATACACTCCATTTTGAATTCAATTTCATTGTACCTCATTTCGTGGATGAATTTGCAAATAACCCCCGTAACGCGGTGGAGTGCTGGAAGTGACCCTATTTACGCAGACCAGTTAGCCATGTGTGAATCGTCCAACTGGTGCATGCCACCAGGCCACATTTCACATACGCTGGTAGTCCTGATTGGTAAGTTGGACAGAAAATAGGTACACAGATGACTTCAGAACTGTCCACTACTCCTCCTCACCCTCTGGTCTTTACCCGGGTTTACACCCGGTACATGACGGTCGTATATGTGGCTAAGCGCACCAGCAGTCTCGACTGTTGTAGGCGGGCTGAGATTCTACCAAGGCGCCCAAATTTGGCGATTAAAGCCTTTGGCTCAAAATCCTGACAGTAAGACAGCAGTGTTTGCCATGAAATGCCAGCACATTACTTTTTTTAAAGAACATGTCACCAGGCAGCCCAACCTGGAGGACTAGGATCATTGATCAAACTGGAATGAGATACTCTACGGGTGTCGCAAGGGCGCCCCCAGTATTGCCTAATAGACTACGGAGGCATACAAACCGCCACCGTTTGTTCGTGACGGCTCAGCACACACCGTAAGTGGCACCACACCTCTGGAAATGAATATCAGCCCACCGTGAGTGGACATGAATATGCGTGTGTATAAAGAACCATAGGTCACTGTTTATGACAACCAGTTATTGCGCGAACAAGCCAGCGGCACAAAAGACGAAGGCAGATGCCACAAGCATGATAACCAGCGAATTGGAAAGAATACTGACGGAACAACAAAATGCACGTATACAGGGAGATTCACAGAGCAGTTTACGATAAGGGGGTAGGACGGGATCACGAGTATGGTACATTTGAGGGGAGTTAGCCTATATACAGACGACACAGGTGGCAAAGATCAGAGTCCACGTAGTTTTGTGGCGAATCGAGGAGAGCGAGGGACGGTGGGAGATACCCGTCTAGGTTGCGGTACAGGCTGGTAATGCCGTATGGGATTCGCTCTGTGCACCAACTGTGCTCGTAGGGCCTTGATCTCTCGTTCTTCTCTGACCTCTTGTTCCCTGCGCTCCTGCTCCAGCTGAAACTCCAGCGCTTTCTTTTTCTGATCAATAGCCTCATCGAAGCGTGATCGCTCCTCGGCCCTTCTTTTGGTCGCCAGTTTTGGTGAAATGGGGACCAGAGGAGGACGGGAAGTTGGTTTCGGGTAGAACGGCGTCCTGTACAACACTGACGGAGATTTCGGAGCTGGTAATGACCGATCTATGGAGTTATTCTAGATGAAAGTAGGCGACGATGATCAACAGATAAGAAGGGGCGCGTAATCAAATAGAGGGTTCATGTTGTTTTAAGTTGTGCACACACCGAAACGTATGCTGAACGTGTAAGGCCGGTAGGCGCTTGGCCCCACAGCTGACAGCCTGTCACCGCATGTAGGTCACGAACCTAATAAGTACCATCAAGGACTTTACGTCTGGGCCTTTCGGGAACGCCTCTGTACGGAACAGCGTCAATACTCCGTGACAGCACATCTTACGTGACCAATGCCTAGGATTTTTCTCTCCGATTAAACCACATCGAGCATCTCCATTAGTTAGAGGAGTAGGTGTTCCATTCGTCATCTTGCAATGAATTTGAATTTGCGCACAAGGGTTGCATTCTAATGAGAGGGCCGCTGATGGCACACTGTATGAACTTGCCCGTTTGCACTGTCTTCGTACAGAGCTAAACTTAAAGTTCCGGTCGGCACTTCCAGCAAATCAGGTTTAAAAGACAGTTGTGTTCAGCGCGATTTCGTTTCAGACGTGGAACAGAAAGACCCCCAGGAGTCAATTTATTTTCCGAATAGCACTGTTCAGCTTTAACACGGTTTAGGTTCTGAACTGCCATGCAACCTGAAGGAAGCATCAGAGTTGAAATACTACCACGTACCCCAACCCTAGATAGGAGCAGTCGAAGTGCCGAGGTTGGGCTCGAACCAAGAACCTTCCGGTCAGTAGGTTCACATTTTAAGTACTGAGTTATCTCGAGCTCCCCCGAATCCCGTGCATTCGGAGGAATGAATGACTGCGCGCGTGGGACAATTCGATAAAAGACAGCTTGGTAACAGACACCCAATTGCCCATATTCCCAAACAACGAATGGACCTTTCTGAGAGCCACTGTCAATATATTCCATGTCATGTGGTACTAACCTACTGGCGTCTTGTACGTCTAAAGTGTTTCAACCAATCAGTAAACTCATCCTTGGGTCGACAGCTGTCGCCTCCCTGAATGGAGACACCGGGATCGACTCATCAATGGCCAATGAAACTGATAGCAGCGGCGCTCGTTCGTCGTCTAAGACACGTTGCTTTGCAGTCTCCCGAACTAAGTGATTATGCGATCGCTTTGAACGCTTGGCTCTATCTACCGTGTTTTCCATTTTTCGGCGAACGAAACTGTAGCAGCTGGAACCAACATTTTTTTGGTACGTGACTTATAGCTGACAAACCGACATGAAATGAGAAGACTTCAAAGTGGTTCGTTTTGATGTTCTTCAATGTTGTGGTCACAGTTCTCTAAGAATGGTTTGGGAGGTTTAAGAGGTTTAAAAAATGAGACTTACAGCGCGAATTTTCATAGTTTATCACAATAACACACAGATCGCTCTCTAACGAAGCCCAAATTCGAAGGCCCCACCGGGGCGCCCAACTTTTAACCAGGATAATAATTTGGTATGAGCCTAAGAACGGAAGAAAACATTAATCAGTTCAGCCAGATCCGATGTCGGTATTATGGCTACACAACCTTCACGTTTATGCTTCAACCGAAGTCATTTGTATGGAGCGCAAGTTTATATTCACCACGTCGTGCAGAGGTCAGGTGCCTGTCGTCGTCTAAGGATTGTGAAATTAACCGCCAATCATATGTGATCGGAATATGACTGACTCAGTTACTTGTCTGTCTAACGCAGCATCACCCTCCCCCGGTTGCATGCAGTCCAGCAATAGCCTGGGGAGGTCGGACTATGAACTGGCAACGATACGTGGAATCAATGATCAGGGAACCCATTCGAACTGGCAGAGGGCAACAATATCAGTGGTTGACAGATATTGCCCACGTTGCGGAATACCAAAACGTTGGGTGCGTTGCCTGGTTGGTCTGTTCGCCGGGCTTGGCAGTTGGATTGCAAGCGACATCAGTGCACTGACGATGTCATTTCGATCGGTGATGAAATGCTTGCGATCCAACTGCCAAACTGGGCGAACGAATTAACCATATGACCCAGTTGCTTATTCAACAGAGTTGTTGCTTCCAAGCAGCTTGAATACTTAAAAGACGCCGAACCGTCTTTTTTTTATGAAAACAGTACTGAAAGCGAAAGATGTATACGCGAGTTGCTTGAGTCGGCTATGTTTTCCCCCGAGGTCCTTGTCAAAATAGGCAACAACTACCAACGCGACGGGGTTTTCTGGTCACACTTCGCTGCCACATTATAGGCGGAGTACGTTCTCATTATCTATACGTCAGCTGATCCAGTGACATGTACATGGCCTAACCTGCCTAGCTCGTTTATTGCGGGCGAGTTGCTTCTTTCGGAAACCGTCTAGCGTAGCTCTGTATGACTGACCCGATGTTTGCACATGACACCGTCAAAGTTCTGTAGATACTGAGAGCCCTGTTGTCTCCTGCACGCACAGGTGACACCTCCGAATCGGACCGCAGTGGACTGTGTTTTGTCATACAACCACACCGTTGCCGTAGGTGCTGGAGTCTGGTAAAATACACCCCGTTCTACCCGACTATAGAAATCGTTTCATCCCCCGTCAACCCGTCAGGGCCTGTATAATGGATCGATCACACACAATGGTTTGATCATGCCGTCTCAAAATAGAATTTTGGATTGTGTAGATATGAAGCACATACCGAACCAGACCGTCATTCAAAACTGGTTGCGTTTCTGTTAGCACAACACTACCGCGCGCTTGCTGACTGCGAGCGGACATCCTGGAGGAAGTTCGATCTCTGAGATGCCACACGTAACGAGGGAAGCTTCAAGAATGGTGAAACAGGACAAATCCCATTTGCGTATGGGTCGTACGAGATGGCTGCTATCTCACAGTCAGGTAAACCAATCATCTCTGTAAACACAGCGAACATCAATGCCGGCACTCGTAATGCACTTGGAATGGAGCATCATCATGCGAATGAAAGACTTGAACTCAGTGTTCGCTATCGAGTTCCGTGAGGCGGGCCAAAACCACGCGCAGAGGGTGCTCACTAGCTTACTTGCCCAAAGAAACTGCACATTGGAGTCACGCCGAGTGGAGTTTGGACGAATAGGTGGCGATTGATGCCAGTCAAGGAAAGCACATCTATTCACCTATGCAAGCGTAAGAATGAGTATTTTTTCTAGCCCGTAGGATGATAGAAACCCTATGAATGAAAGCAAACATACCTGAGTAGTGCTCCGACTGAGAACGGACCGTTCCTCGGTTCGAAAAACAAAGGGTCGTGGAACAGTAGATTTCTGCAAAACAACCATGCCATTCACGCGTTTGACAGAAAGAAATAAGAAAGATGGTGTTGGATCGTTAGAGTAATGCTACCCGCGAATGCAACTCGAAAACAAGGGTTTTAGAATGACCGTAAGAGGTATTCTTGCTTTACGGCCTTAGGATTATGTATCGATCTTCGTTTTTCAGCACTGGACCTTCGACAGAAAAAAAACAACCCGCGTGAGAGTACGATAACAAAAACCAGCTTTGGAGAAGAGCTCACGTACTGGATTGTGTCCATAATTCAAAGTCTGTTAAAGTGACCAACATGCACACAATGACAACCTTGTGCCCAAAAAAACGTGATGACGAGCACCGGTTGAAAACGGTATCTTTCTTTGGACTAATTTTTCCAGGTTGCGCCAACACCGTCCAGACAGACAGTGGGTTCCAGACAAAACTAAGCTACGTCGACCGATTTAGCGAAATTCGATGGAATTGGACTAAACCCTGTTTTAGTTCGGTCAAACGTCTCTTCCAATTACAAAATGGTGCAGTCGTAAATTTGCTCCGTGGATGATCTCTGGACATCTAAAAACGTAACGTAAACCGAGCAAACAGCACTGAAGCCTAATCAGCATATAAGGGGTAGAGTATCCCAAGCCAGGTTAGGTAATGTGGTATTGCCATTGTGGTATTGAACCACATGCCTTTGATACGAACCATGCCATGTTGTGGGCTCTGGATCGCCACAAAGATTGACGACATAACCAATTCATTGCAAGTCGGCACAAATCTGTCTCCTGCATGCGTCAAAACAAAATAACTTGTAGTCCGAATCGGATCGAACCAATCGAATAACAAAGATCCACGAATAGTTCCGATTTATCTTGGAAAGTGCGGTCACAGGATTACACAGTTTAAACAGTATCGATGAAAAAATTGGGCAAACGACTCTGGCTACAATAGTGTGTTTTTCGGGCTTGCCTTATTGTCAGAGAGAACAAAGTTTCTGTAAACTGAACGACTTTACTGGGTCTCGCCTATGGGGGCGTGTACAGAAAGAGTTGAAGCTCCGTCTGGTTTAGCTAGAGCGGACTGGGACCATGTTCCCAGTATCAATAGATAATAGATAATACCAGTTTAGGAGTAATACTTTTTAGTTGCCTGTGCCATGCTGCCCGAAACAAACACGAAGGCTAAAATACCGCCACGATGCCCAACCTCGAAAGGTACAGTCGAGATACTCGGAGGTCGAGTTCGAACCATGGACCTTGGGGCTGGTAAGTTCGCACCTCGACCACCGAACCAACTCGAGCTCAACATCAATAAAAGAGCGACCGATTTTCATACGTAAGCGAGATATTGGAAAACAAAACAAACGGACAGAGATCTTGTGAACATGCCCAAGCTGCTTCATGAATGAAACAATTGATTCGGTGGTCCGAAGATCGAGACAGGTTGCAGAATCCATTTCAATCTATCAGCGTAAGTAGAACGACTTCGTGACAGGGGACATCAAAAATGACATTCTCGACAGCTGATTTCGGGTGGTAGACGTGCTCCGAGCTACTATGGTCAAGTAAGATAAGAAGCTAGACGGATATTTCCTGCAATAAATAGTATCCCAAGATATTCTGCTCAAAACCAACTTTGAAAGAGAGCAAAGACAGGAACGAACAGTTTGGGGGGTAAATAAACAACTGAAGGAAAATATCTCGACTATCGTGCTAAGTGAAACATGAGACGACCTCTGTGCAGCGCACTGAAGTGAAGAATATCACAAGTGAAGTCAGGATTCAGCAGGGTCTCCTTTGAAAATCAAATTGGTATGCAAAGTGTTTTTAGTTAGACATACGTTTGACGCCGGGTAAGATAAACACACAACACTTACGGATGACTTTTTGTAGAAGGCAATCCCGCGATATCGGCCAGGTGAGGGTACTGTAAAGTTAAATTGTACCGGATCGACCTTTGAGTGCGAATCTTGGTCAGTTTGTTCATTCTGCAATAGGTATGAGACTTGTGACTTTTCAGTGTGAGCACAACGCAGGAACGATCGGACTAGATTACCTCAGGGTTTTTGTGAGAAAAACGTGGGTATGAAACAATTAAATCAAAGTGTACTGTGGTTCTCAAATCTATCTGACCAGCAGAGTCATCTATCAAATAGGCAATAGGACTGCCTCATCGAAAACAAAACTTTCAGCTGGTCCTCCGAAGTATTCGTCGACTTCATTGAGCTACAGACGGCAGAACAAGTGAATTCCGCATAAGCGGAGTCAACTTCGGGTAAACTACACATGACACATAAGGTCGGGGGAAAGTAAAGACCACGGTGTACGAGAAGCCAGATGACATTCAGGCAATTTTTAACTACTTGTCTGTCCACCCGAAGTCGGTATTCGCTAGTATTGCCTTATCAATGTTTAACCGAGTAAGGACCCTCTGCAGAGAAGAGGTTGACCGGACGGCGGCCCGAATCGAAAGGACAAACTTCAGGGTAGTGGATATCTAACTAGTTTGATTAGGCGTCAATTACGAACGGTGTTGATACCGGTGGCGAAATCCAACAGGGGATGGAGTCGGGCTGCTATTATTCCGTATAGACCAGGGATATCGGATTCTAAATACAGTCAACATAAGAGTAGTTTTCCAGAAGGAAAACACTCTGCACTGGTGCAATTAAAGGATTGTCTCTCGGCGAACAGATTCAGGGACTGTGTCTACAAAATTGGGTGTAACGACTGCATTAAGGTCCTTATAGGAGAACTTCACTTCAGAATCGGAGAGCACTGGAGAGAAATAAACAGGCCAATGAGGCACGCAGATGAAAATCGAACGTTACTGAGGGACTCGGCAATGGCGGAACATACACCGGACACCGGACACAAAAAAGATTTAGAAAGACAGATTTTGAGGCTACGTAACACAGACTGATGGCCTAACCGCTGAAAATCACAAAGCATCCCAGTGTAAACAAAAACAGAAGACGTAGAACTGGCACGCGTTTGAAGACCGGTTTTGGATCGGTCGAGCCGACACTTGTTTGTGTGCGCTTATCAGAAGGAGTCAGCAACACAAGTAACTTAGATCTGAATCGCACTTGATTCCACCCTCTTCCTTCCACCCCCAACCAAACTGTCGTAGCACTCACGAGCCCACACAGAGCAACAAAATTTACCAGTTGCACCCAAGGTAAATCATCATTTGAAGCAGCTTGAAGTGGAGGATTAAGGAACCAAGCTCGATCAAAAATAATTTGAAACTTCTCTCAGCCCATCAACCACAATATTTAGGCAACCACACTAACCTTTAGTTGACATTCAACACTGATCTAGTGTACTAATCTGCGGAGGTCTTACTGATTGGTTCTCCGTCCAACTTAAAACCTGGCCAACTTGGTGACCTGTTCACTTAGCTTGATGAAGCTTTTGTGTCGAAAGCGAGATGTTGTTCAACTAAAAACTAACCGATTGTTCACCAAGCCCTTCTGAAATGATACTCATCGACTCCATTGAGTTGTATATGGCGGAAGAAATGAATTTCCATAAACTCTGGTATTGGAGAGCCTTACCGCAACAGACAGCACTCGCTGGAATTCTTATCCTGAGCCTCCCTCAGAAAAAGCCTACTTCCGACTCGAGTTGGTATCCTAAAATACGTCACTGTATGTACCTTATTATTGATCGCCTTCCTGTTCGCACTAAGTTCCTACCTTCTCCTTTTCATTCTTTCGCCTCATGGATGCATGGCAGTTGAGCATCGTTGTCTATTACTGGTGTGTTGCTCACAATGATGACGATAAACGTTCAGCTGTACCACATTTCCGGTGCCTATCTGCCATACCACACGAAGGGAGCACGAGGGCTGAGATGCTGCCAGCTCACCTAAGCCTAGACAAGAGTAGTCGGCGTGAGGCTGGGTTCGAAATACGGACCTTCTGGTCAGTAAGTTAGCGCTTCAAACCACCGAGCTATCTCAAGCTTAGTGATGGTGATAACTATATCATAAAAAACATTTGAGTAACTTGACATACGTACGGTCTTCAGAATAGTCGGGCCGTAAAGCATTCGTCGCATGAGTCCCACGAATAAAAATCAACGAGCGAGCATCGTTTGGACGATACTCTTCAGGCTAGGTAAACTCGCTTTTGTATCATAGTGGCTGTCTTGATGAAAAGGAAGAAAGGAGTGCTCGAACTAGCCGAAGTCCGGAATCCACCCGCCCAGTTTATTATCGCACACCGCCAAGATATAGGGCGCAACGGACGATATGCATCAACAGTTCATTTATTTCTTCAACCGTCAGATTCACTCAGGTGAAAGGCAGGTAAATTAGTTTCATATACAGTTCATTACCACCACAATCAGAAACAGTAACATCTCTACTGACATTAATGCTTCATGGCCGTGAAACTGCAAAGTTTAATTAGCTCTGTTTAAAACTTTAGAGTAAAAATATAACAGAACTGAGGGTAGAATCTGGTGCTGGCCTGTCGCAAGAATTCTGTGGTGGTTGCACCTCAAAATGCTCAATCAGACGATAACGAAGGAAACTGATAGCACGAACGCCACCGACACGCACCGGGCGCTATATCTTACAATGTCGCCAGCCACGTTCAGGGGAGGGGGTCACGTGGGCCCCGTCCTGGAAGGCGGACTACATCCAAGCTTTTCGTAATCTCTTTTACACCCTTTTGCTACGTCATACATTGCTCGATTCGCAGTCTGAGGAGCTCTGAAGGATGAATGGAGAGCAATACTAGTCTCGGCATGCGTAGCACATGGCCGACCCAGCGCAGTCGAGGTGCGTGGCGTTTTCCGCGACTGAAGTACCTGCTGCACAAACAAATATCCGTTTTCTAATTACCCCGTTATAGCTTGAAAAATGTCATATCCGTAGTAGACATCAAACTTCTGCATCCACAGTTCGGAGATCCAAGTAATAAATAAGTTGCCGACTACTGTTTATGAGTTCCGATTGCAAAAAATGATTTCGAACATTTGGCTGGGATGGCACGTAGTGATCAGGTCTAGAGACGATGACCATTCCTGGCTTATGTGCTTTCGCCAGAGTGGTTCTCAACGACTTCGGTATATTCTATAGAACTAGGTCTGTATTCCTTATCTGTAACATCTACAAATGAATTGACAGACTTCGTGATAGGTCGAACTATAAAGTGAGTACGATGTGCCAGGCTAAATGGGGATTGGTGACAGGATGGTTGATAAGCACTAAGAAACGAACTGGCGACCTGTCAATTATTCAGCTGTGACCCCTGAAGGAGCACAACGGCCACTACACAACCAAGTTGTCCCAAACCAGGCAACTGCAATCGGAATGACAAGGGAACGTCTGGTTAGTGGCCTAGTTCACTAAACTCTCCTGGAGAGAGTAAGCCCTCCGTTACAGAGGTGACCCTAGGGTGCTGAAACACCGGATTATGAGCACCGAGTATTCCCTTGGGGACAATCCAAACATGGACATCAAAGTGTTCAACTCCAACCGAACCTCTCATGGTGCAGAACTTACCTAGATGTGGATTGCTCTGTGGACGCAGTCAAACCCAAACGAACGACTGAGGATAATCAACTGAGGGCAGATATGAGTTTGCGTCCGAGTTTAAAGAAATAATGAAATAATTGTTCAGCTGTAGCGCCCTTTCGGCGCTTAGCTGCCATGCCACCCGACGGAAGCACGAGGGCTGAGATACTGTCAGGTTGCCCAAGCCTAGACACGGGAATTCGAGAGGCAGAGGTCGGGTTCGAAGCACAGACTTTCCGGTCAGTAAATTCGCGCTTTAACCACTTGAGCCATCTCGCGTCCGAGTTTAGCAGAAAAAACCTCATTCAGGCTGAATGCTGCTACTTCACTTCACCATGTGTGGTGGGAAACTTCTTCTGTCTACTCTGTGGTTGAGTAAACTGGTTGCTAGTCTGTTCATCAAGCTTGGCAGATGAACCAACAACCGAAACAATGCATCCGGATCACCCATATTCTGCAACATTGCCAGTTAGATTGAATATTCTAGATACACATCCACTAGTAAGCTATCGTTATCGGAACAAGACTGCGTTCATATCTGGATATCTCGTGAGCAATGGACTGCAATTTGGCTCGAATCGTGGGCTGATCGCATTCCCTTGATGATATTGGGGAAGAAAAAAGTTCCGACATATTTTTGAGTTCTCGTCTTCTGGTTGGTTTACGCCTCAAACACAGAGCAATCTTGAGCCCCTATATCAGATGTTTCGATGACATACTCTGTACTGTCGACTTGGAGTACCACTGTCACCATTTTACCACAAAGGAATTGAATGGGCAGATCTCCTTTGTAGAGATGCTACTGGGTACCTATTTACAAGCTACACCGAAATAGATTATGTTAATTCCTTGATATGACACACTACTCATAAGTTGTTGAACACTCATCGATTGAGGGGGCGAGATGGTCCAAGTGGTTAGAGCGCGAATTTACTGACCGGAAGGTCCGTGGTTCGAACCCGACCTCTACCTCTCGACTTCCCCTGTCTAGGCTTGGGCAACTTGGCAGTATTCCAGCCCCCGTGCCTCCTTCTAGTGACATGGCAGTTGGGCACCGAAATGGTGCTACAGCTGAACGAGTAATGTGTTGGCAAAGTCAGGAGATCCGGGGATTTACAATCAAGATTTCGTCCAATAAGTCACGTGAACTTACTGCGAAGAGCATAGGGAGGTTTCACAGTTGCCTCATCCGTAGTGAGAATCCTTGCAAGTGAACATCTCACGAATTTCTAGAGTGATTCGAACTCGCATAGTAGGTAACAACTGAACCGTTTGGACACGACCGACTGATCAGCAGTGTAATTAACACGGACTTAGACAAGATAAAGCGCCACTCCTCGTTCGATCACAGAATCCACATCACGTGGTCACGTATTGACTAGCGCCTCGAGTGAGAACTCAGATGGAAAGTTCATTCGTTGTGCGAACTATTTTTCCTTCTAAGCTACTTATAGAATGAGATTTGGACATTTTCAAGTAAGATTTCACCTTGTACGTGATTTGTCGTAACTTTCACAATTCTGTCCCTCTCCAAAAAAAGAAACACCTTTCGCTGTCTGGCCATGTTCCGATTACACTGGCGTATGAATGAGACCTATTTTAGGGGAAATGGTTACCCTGGCTGGTGCATCTCACGCGGAAATAGTCGAACTCAAGTGGCTGGTTTATGATTCCCTCCCACTTACGGTGCTGCCAGACTTCGACGACTTTTCCCAGGTATGTCTGTGAACTAAGGACTCCCTTCCGGTGCAAAACTGACATGCGGCCCGAAAGAAGCATGAGGCCTGGGATGCTGCCAGGTTGCTCAGCCTTACACAGAAATATTGAGGTTGGGTTCGAGCGACGGGCTGAAAGAACAGTAGTTTCGCGCACTAATCGCTGAGTAATCTGTTTTTTTTTATTGTCTGAAAATCCGTCGCTGGGAGTCGGATCAATTCGAATACGCGTGGTCTCATGTGCTGGGCAAGCGGTCCGTCAAAGATACGCGGCGATGACCGGGAAATAAATTCTGCAAATAAAGCTAATGCAGCTTTTCTTGCCCAGATATCCACTCATAATAAGAGTACAAAACAGATGGACAGTCTACGGTCCGTCCTCACGTACTCCAATAGTTCTGTTGCTTTTCTTCAGAAAGAAGGTATAGCATACCGTAACTCAGCATCCCAAGGTGACACGAGTTTGCTGGGGTCAGGTATAATCCAAAGCGTTTGAAATGTTAGACTAACTAAGCTTGCTTGTTCCAGAGAAGCTTTTGAATGCCACCCGAATCACGCAACTTCCCTTAATTATAATGAACAAAAAGCCCAAAGTGCCTTTTTTGAAATGGTTGCAGAGTGTTCGTTTCTACCTGACGTCTTTGAACGACTACGTATAATGCAATACCACCAAGTGGAGCAGTTTACATGTGGAGATCCACAGTGCCGCAAAACCTTTCCGGATATTCACTCTGCTGAGGGAGACGATCTAAGGAGGNTTGTTGGGTGATCGGAAGAGGACCCCAATGAATCCACACAGCTAACTTTCCTCCTCCCCCCCCCCCTGAAATTTGCAAACGTCACGTAAAAGCCAAAAATGTGAAATTCTAGATAACAAGTCTGATATGCGAGGACCGCTATCTAGACAGCTTAGTGGTTGAAGCGCGAACTTACTGATCGGAAAGCCCGTGGTTCGAACCCAACCACGGCATCTCCATCGCTCCTTACTAGGTTTGGACAACTTGATACTATCTCAGTTTTTGTGCTTCCTTCAGGTGGCATGGCAGCTAAGCTAAGGTATTACAGCGAAATTTCGTTCAATACAATTCATAAAAGACACTCACTGAGCCAATCTGGATTAAAACTTCCAAGGCTATTGACATCGACTAGCAACCATATATCTTGAAGCGTTCCAACCAGGAGCGGTGGGCATCACGTGGTCCCCACTCTGGAAGGTAGGTCGCACTGACAGCAAACGGACTTTCCGTAATCTCTCATAACTCCCTACCAGGTCAAGGGTTGACCACCTCTTCGCTTCCGCAACTCGAACACATAGAGCAATATTGGCACTTTTGCACTACTCAGTAAACTAATGGAGGTGAAGATCTTCACTGAGCGAGACCTGGAAAAGGTTAAGCACCACTGAGCTATCCCAACAAATCACCACCGAGTAATGGCAGTTGGTGAATAACTGTAGCAGAAAAAGCCTACCTCAGATTGTGTGTTCGTGGCTGGATCAACAGTGCCCAAGTCCAAACCAAGGGATACGTCCAATCGAGTTAACATACAATGGCTTTTCCGCCGGACTGAAGACATTCGACTCTGAAGCGTAGAGAAAAAGTATCTAATAAAAATGTGTTCAGTAACCTAAATTTATACAGCTGGGTGGTTGTACATGCGGTCGTTGATCTGTTCACCAAGACTGTCGGTTGGCATTACAAGAGCAGTATCATAGGCTTCGTGCCTCTTTGGGCTGGCATGGCAGGTATGCACCGAAACGATGTAACAGCCGAACTATTACTGTTGATTTATTTACTTACTTACATACTTACCTATTTACTTACTTATATACGTCATCGTCACCCCCGACCTAAAGATTTCACCTTGTTGTGCTGGTGGGCTTCTGTGCTGCAAGGGTTTTGAAGCTATACTGGCTAAAACTCAGTTCCTAAAGGTTCAACCATGTCAGGCCAGCGGGGAGCAGCTCGATGACGAACAGCAAGTCCCCGTGCTGCGAGTAGTCGCATTACGTTTTGTTCTCCGCTATAATAGTGTGGAGGCAGTAAGGCGTCTCCATCAGGCTACCAGAATGTCGATAGTTATGGAAGCAGCGATGCTGCTTTTCCCCCAGGAAAGACAAGTTAAGAAAGGTCAGCCTTAAAAAAAACGCACACTCCGACCGCTCAAAGCTTGGCCGCCACCGCCAGCACATTATGCAACACGGTCGAAATACTTTCAAAACCAAGGGTCCGGTGCCACTCGAAGAGCACCTGCTGTGCGTAGCCACATTAGGACTGAGACTAATGCCTTACCCCCTGTCCTTGGGTCACGTCGGCCCCCTGCAGCCAAGTGAGTGAGACTATTGAGTCAATGGCTCCAGGAAGGGTTCCTCAAGAAAAGTCCAACAGCCACTGCGTAGCGGTTCAGACATCTGAGTCAGATGCTAGAGGCAGAGTCACCGAACAGAGCTCTAAATCTTGCCATTGTCTTGTGTGTCAGACTCTTGAGACAAAGGCTCAAGGTTGGGTACCTCAACCAAACCCCATTCTTCAACTTGCAAAACCGGGAAGTATCATTCGCCCTTGCAGCTCTCCGCTCACTGGCCTTCATCCACATCGATCCCCATCCACCCAATGATGCAGTGGGATCGACCTACCTGCCAGTCCCCTAGCCACTGTTCCGTGTTTAAACCATCGCCTAGAAAAATGAATCAAAATAATCCATAAATTCGAAAGGTCTGTTCCACGTTGCGGCTTTTATTGTCCGCACTCTTTGCCAAATTGGGAAACAGGTATCCCTTGCTGAAAATTTGCTTTCCCTCTCTGTCAATATATGTTGTCTCCTCCGAAACGCGCGTACAAAACCTTACTCCGATCGTGCACCTTAAGCCGCTTCGGACGAGATCGGATGTTCCAAATTTCAATTTCGGGCATCCGCTGAACCCGACGCAACGTCTCGTGGTATATACGGTGTAGGAGTTCCACTCAGACTCAAGTATGCAAACGCCTTACTAGACTGGATCCCAAGGGTGGTTATCTGGCTCACTTAGGATCAACGCAGGTCGATGCGGTAAATGGTGCTCATTTATCGTACCGGCATACAGACTGCAGCTCTGAGATTGAAGGCGGGTTGCATCAAGAACTGTAAGCTGCTGCGGTCAGCAAGGACGGGTATAGTAATCCTGACCCCTCAAACACCGGACAATCAGGAGCTTGAAGAATGACAGGTAACACTGGTGGATTGCGAAGGCCCAGGAGACTGAGCGATTACTGCGCCCTAGCTCAGTTGATGTGATCAGCCGGTCAAAAGAGGGCAGGTGCCAGTGAAACAACATGCGAAAAAGGCGGAACAGCAATTCACCTCTAAATCGTCGTCTTGAGCGATGAGCTCAAGACAGCTCAGCTGGTCTCCTTCAAAACAACCACTGAACAAACCAGGCGGGCCTGAATGGAGCATCGACTCCAGCCCACCGTCAACAACAGAAATCCAGCGTAATGTATCAATTATCCAACGCGACAAGGCACTCTTCAAAGGTGGTGAGGTCCTGATAAACAGTCTGGTAATACACTGCAGATATGAATCCGAAAAATTCAGCTGAATGGAGTTCCTCTATCGGTCATAGGGAGATAGAGAGAGATACGTGAGAATCAACCTGGGTTTAACCCTGGTAGAGAACGCATCCACCATATCTTTACCTTGAGACGAATTCTCTTTAAAACGTCCCACGTTGGTCATTTTTCTCCACCTGAAAGCTGATTTGACTCCGTCGATCTTCAGAAACTTCGGCAGTGTCTGGCGATCAAAAGTATCCCTTCCAAATTTATTTCTGATGGCACCGTATGCGAAATCCTATGGGCGCGTACGTGTATACGGCAAGCTTAGATCCGAGTTCACCACGTCCAGCGGTACAAGACAAGGCTTCCGTCCCTCACTGTTCCTCTTCAACTTCGTCATTGACGTATTGCTTGAAATTTCTCCGCCTATCTCCGAAACCTCAGGGGTCGAAATGCTCTCGGCACGTTTGCTCATAGACATGGAGCATGCGGACGATATCTCTCTCCTTAGTTCAAACCTTTCAATAATGCAAACCATTTTAACTAACGTAACTACCGCACGGATAGGCATGTTCTTCGCATTTGCAAAGTGTAAATTACTGCTACAAGGTTGGACGGAATCAGAAATAACAATAAACGTTCAGCTGTAACACCTTTTCGGTGCCTAGCTGCTATGCCCCCCGAAGAAAACAGGCGGACTGGGAGATTGCCCAAGCCTGTAGCAGCTACAACTACTGTGCGACAAGTACGCGGTTCTTAGAAGCTGATACCACGGCAATAGGAGTATGAAAAACCAACCAATAAACTTAGTTCGTCTGACAGCTGCGCCTCTGTGGATGGTGACCCCGAAACTCAACTCAACAATGGTTGACGTCACTGGCAGATATGTCCCAATCACGCAGCCAGTGGCGCTCGTGGATTAAAACTATCGCTTTCAATGCGTAGCTACCGGGTTACCGAACTAACTGAACATGACATCGTTTCCAAGGCTTGGCTGCATGTCCCACACCCTCCCGCTTTCCGGTGATTGGAACTTTAGCAGCTGGAACCAATATGTCTATGGTACAAGGTTTATAGCTGACAAACTGAACTGAAGTTAAAATACAGCCCAGAATCATCACCACAATCATCATCGCCACTACCAGCATCACTATCATCATTGAGTGCAAGCTGCTAATCATAAACAATAATGTTTAGCAGCCACACAACCAAGAGCGGAGTAAGGCTCAGTAAGGAGTTGAAAGGGGATAGCAAGGAGTTGAGTGCAAAGGGGTCCAATGTCTTCAATGAAGACAAGCAAGAAAACAATATCAGTGTTAAAATAAATACTTCTAAGCATTATGTATGGTTGAGGCACCATCAGAGGTCTTGATCCAGATCCTTCCCAAGCTTTAGTTATACAGTCTAGCCAGGAAATGACAGCATCCATGTTACTGGGATCAGTTGCATACCATGTCCTGCAGGGTTTCCAACAACGTTCAAGCAGAATCACGTGGACCCTGGCCAGAAAGGCGCGAATATCCCACAAAATTCATTTTGACTGCAGCCGCTTTTATTTCACACCGCTATGTCATGACCTGCCCCCGAGAAACATCCGCTGAAAATGGCTGAAAGAAAGTGGTTGTGCCAACCACTAACCCTCGGCTACGCACCACCATGATCCTCAATAACGCACTGATGAGGTCATCCCGATTTGTGATGAAATGTTTACAATCAACCTGTCCAGCTCAGCGAACAAGCCAACGACCATGAACCGAGACATTACTAGGAAAACATAACTAGAGATGGAGACAAGTAGGGTTCACAACCAAAGCGTTCAGTTCAAAAGCCACCAAAAGGCGGCACTAAGGGGTGTGACTATTCGAGTACCCAAATTTTAGGAAGCCATAGTCACACTCGCCTACCCCTGATATATAGTGCTAGGAGACTCTCAGACCTCTCGGATAACAATGTTATTTTCTGTGCATAAGTTGGAGTGGTGTATATTATAAACTAACCTTGTGGTAAACTGTTTACTCGCTATTCATTAAACTAACCGTGTTTCCTAATGTTTGGCTGATGTACCGAAATTGTTAGATTAAAGCCAATCGTTCGGCAATCCTCCTTCGCTATTTCTGGCTCAATCATTCAAGTGTGCGACATTTTAGTCTAACAAAACGCAATGGAATGATTGTTTCGCCCAGATTGGTTTGACGCCGATCCTCAATCTCCTTCTGCTCAACGATGGATCCATTGACACGAAAAGTTTACGGATTTTCTCTCCTGTATCGAACTCCCAAACGTTGACAAAAGATAACTTTTGGTAAACTTTCTTTCTCCGTCCGTCTGTCAACATGTTCGTTAATGTACCACTTGCGAAGACGCCATCCAGACGTTCGGAACGATGTACATTAAACCTAAAATGAAGTGTTTGCTCGCCACATACTGGTTACTACCAGGACAATTAGTCGATGCATTCCTTCAAAAATTACGCTACCTTGGCAAAGACTGCAATATTTGTGCGGTTTCTGCCGATGAACGCCAGGATGAGGCTATCGGAGACGCTTTTATCACAGGTTTGTATCTAATTTCGTTCGCCAACGACCACTGGAAAAACACACCCCTAAGCATCGATGAGGCACGTTCGCTTGAACATGTTCAACAACAGTCACTCTCACACGACTCGTCTTATCATGTTCCTGGTGGTGCCGCATCAATCAAAACGGATAGACCTTTGACTCCTGTTCGTGATACACTTATCTTTCAGACTGACTCTGATGACGCGATAACAAGCACACCCTTATCTTGCTTATTCTGTGACAACGGCAAGTACATTCGTTCAAAATGCCCGGCTCGTGAATCTTTGTCATTCCTGCAGCAAGAAAAGTCACTTTCAAAGAGTCTGTCGATCCAAGTTGAGTTCAAGTCGTATCACGTCGTCGATAAACCCTGGCGTTTTATCTATTTTCAACATCTCTTCATGCACTGGACTTTCCAAATCAATCGTTGATGTTATAGTGAATAAAATCCCACTCCATGCTCCTATCGACACTAGTAGCTGCG